GAGTGTGAGGGGCTGTGTGTGTGCTGTGAGTGTGAGTGCATGCATGTGAGAGTGTGAGGGGTGTGTGAGCTGTGAGTGTGAGTGCATGCATGTGAGAGTGAGGGGCTGTGAGTGTGAGTGTGAGTGCGTGCATGTGAGAGTGTGAGGGGTGTGTGAGCTGTGAGTGTGAGTGCATGCATGTGAGAGAGTGAAGGGTGAGAGAGCTGTGAGTGTGAGTGCATGCATGTGAGAGAGTGAAGGGTGAGAGAGCTGTGAGTGTGAGTGCATGCATGTGAGAGAGTGAAGGGTGAGAGAGCTGTGAGTGTGAGTGCATGCATGTGAGAGAGTGAAGGGTGAGAGAGCTGTGAGTGTGAGTGCATGCATGTGAGAGAGTGAAGGGTGAGAGAGCTGTGAGTGTGAGTGCATGCATGTGAGAGAGTGAAGGGTGAGAGAGCTGTGAGTGTGAGTGCATGCATGTGAGAGAGTGAAGGGTGAGAGAGCTGTGAGTGTGAGTGCATGCATGTGAGAGAGTGAAGGGTGAGAGAGCTGTGAGTGTGAGTGCATGCATGTGAGAGAGTGAAGGGTGAGAGAGCTGTGAGTGTGAGTGCATGCATGTGAGAGAGTGAAGGGTGAGAGAGCTGTGAGTGTGAGTGCATGCATGTGAGAGAGTGAAGGGTGAGAGAGCTGTGAGTGTGAGTGCATGCATGTGAGAGAGTGAAGGGTGAGAGAGCTGTGAGTGTGAGTGCATGCATGTGAGAGAGTGAAGGGTGAGAGAGCTGTGAGTGTGAGTGCATGCATGTGAGAGAGTGAAGGGTGAGAGAGCTGTGAGTGTGAGTGCATGCATGTGAGAGAGTGAAGGGTGAGAGAGCTGTGAGTGTGAGTGCATGCATGTGAGAGAGTGAAGGGTGAGAGAGCTGTGAGTGTGAGTGCATGCATGTGAGAGAGTGAAGGGTGAGAGAGCTGTGAGTGTGAGTGCATGCATGTGAGAGAGTGAAGGGTGAGAGAGCTGTGAGTGTGAGTGCATGCATGTGAGAGAGTGAAGGGTGAGAGAGCTGTGAGTGTGAGTGCATGCATGTGAGAGAGTGAAGGGTGAGAGAGCTGTGAGTGTGAGTGCATGCATGTGAGAGAGTGAAGGGTGAGAGAGCTGTGAGTGTGAGTGCATGCATGTGAGAGAGTGAAGGGTGAGAGAGCTGTGAGTGTGAGTGCATGCATGTGAGAGAGTGAAGGGTGAGAGAGCTGTGAGTGTGAGTGCATGCATGTGAGAGAGTGAAGGGTGAGAGAGCTGTGAGTGTGAGTGCATGCATGTGAGAGAGTGAAGGGTGAGAGAGCTGTGAGTGTGAGTGCATGCATGTGAGAGAGTGAAGGGTGAGAGAGCTGTGAGTGTGAGTGCATGCATGTGAGAGAGTGAAGGGTGAGAGAGCTGTGAGTGTGAGTGCATGCATGTGAGAGAGTGAAGGGTGAGAGAGCTGTGAGTGTGAGTGCATGCATGTGAGAGAGTGAAGGGTGAGAGAGCTGTGAGTGTGAGTGCATGCATGTGAGAGAGTGAAGGGTGAGAGAGCTGTGAGTGTGAGTGCATGCATGTGAGAGAGTGAAGGGTGAGAGAGCTGTGAGTGTGAGTGCATGCATGTGAGAGAGTGAAGGGTGAGAGAGCTGTGAGTGTGAGTGCATGCATGTGAGAGAGTGAAGGGTGAGAGAGCTGTGAGTGTGAGTGCATGCATGTGAGAGAGTGAAGGGTGAGAGAGCTGTGAGTGTGAGTGCATGCATGTGAGAGAGTGAAGGGTGAGAGAGCTGTGAGTGTGAGTGCATGCATGTGAGAGAGTGAAGGGTGAGAGAGCTGTGAGTGTGAGTGCATGCATGTGAGAGAGTGAAGGGTGAGAGAGCTGTGAGTGTGAGTGCATGCATGTGAGAGAGTGAAGGGTGAGAGAGCTGTGAGTGTGAGTGCATGCATGTGAGAGAGTGAAGGGTGAGAGAGCTGTGAGTGTGAGTGCATGCATGTGAGAGAGTGAAGGGTGAGAGAGCTGTGAGTGTGAGTGCATGCATGTGAGAGAGTGAAGGGTGAGAGAGCTGTGAGTGTGAGTGCATGCATGTGAGAGAGTGAAGGGTGAGAGAGCTGTGAGTGTGAGTGCATGCATGTGAGAGAGTGAAGGGTGAGAGAGCTGTGAGTGTGAGTGCATGCATGTGAGAGAGTGAAGGGTGAGAGAGCTGTGAGTGTGAGTGCATGCATGTGAGAGAGTGAAGGGTGAGAGAGCTGTGAGTGTGAGTGCATGCATGTGAGAGAGTGAAGGGTGAGAGAGCTGTGAGTGTGAGTGCATGCATGTGAGAGAGTGAAGGGTGAGAGAGCTGTGAGTGTGAGTGCATGCATGTGAGAGAGTGAAGGGTGAGAGAGCTGTGAGTGTGAGTGCATGCATGTGAGAGAGTGAAGGGTGAGAGAGCTGTGAGTGTGAGTGCATGCATGTGAGAGAGTGAAGGGTGAGAGAGCTGTGAGTGTGAGTGCATGCATGTGAGAGAGTGAAGGGTGAGAGAGCTGTGAGTGTGAGTGCATGCATGTGAGAGAGTGAAGGGTGAGAGAGCTGTGAGTGTGAGTGCATGCATGTGAGAGAGTGAAGGGTGAGAGAGCTGTGAGTGTGAGTGCATGCATGTGAGAGAGTGAAGGGTGAGAGAGCTGTGAGTGTGAGTGCATGCATGTGAGAGAGTGAAGGGTGAGAGAGCTGTGAGTGTGAGTGCATGCATGTGAGAGAGTGAAGGGTGAGAGAGCTGTGAGTGTGAGTGCATGCATGTGAGAGAGTGAAGGGTGAGAGAGCTGTGAGTGTGAGTGCATGCATGTGAGAGAGTGAAGGGTGAGAGAGCTGTGAGTGTGAGTGCATGCATGTGAGAGAGTGAAGGGTGAGAGAGCTGTGAGTGTGAGTGCATGCATGTGAGAGAGTGAAGGGTGAGAGAGCTGTGAGTGTGAGTGCATGCATGTGAGAGAGTGAAGGGTGAGAGAGCTGTGAGTGTGAGTGCATGCATGTGAGAGAGTGAAGGGTGAGAGAGCTGTGAGTGTGAGTGCATGCATGTGAGAGAGTGAAGGGTGAGAGAGCTGTGAGTGTGAGTGCATGCATGTGAGAGAGTGAAGGGTGAGAGAGCTGTGAGTGTGAGTGCATGCATGTGAGAGAGTGAAGGGTGAGAGAGCTGTGAGTGTGAGTGCATGCATGTGAGAGAGTGAAGGGTGAGAGAGCTGTGAGTGTGAGTGCATGCATGTGAGAGAGTGAAGGGTGAGAGAGCTGTGAGTGTGAGTGCATGCATGTGAGAGAGTGAAGGGTGAGAGAGCTGTGAGTGTGAGTGCATGCATGTGAGAGAGTGAAGGGTGAGAGAGCTGTGAGTGTGAGTGCATGCATGTGAGAGAGTGAAGGGTGAGAGAGCTGTGAGTGTGAGTGCATGCATGTGTGAGTGTGAAAGCCATGGTTCCCCACAGGGGCCGGGCCTGCGTGTGCTGGGTGGTGCTGTCACCCAAGGCTGCAGAGCCAGGGAGCAGGACTCAGGTGGGGGCGTGGACTGTGAGGAATGAGTGACAGGGACCTTCTCCCCTTGATGACAGTGGCCAAGCCCCTCCCAGGCTCTGTCCAAGTCACCCCATTTAGGGTGTGTTTGTCCCCCATGCCTGCTCTTCCCGGGGCCCCCTCACCGCCTTCTTGATCCCTTCCCTGGGGCAGCCCCGGTTTCGTCCCTGGAGAGGCCCCATTGCCTCACCGCTCCCCACAGCAGCCCCACTCTACCCTTCCCCGTCTACTTCTCTGGGACTCCCCT